CCTCCCACCCATCTGTCATTTGTCTTCAGATGGAAATGGAATTTAAGGAAGTGTGTTGGGCCATTTTGGGAAGTTACTCCGTTTTCCTGGGTATGTCCCATGTTTACAGAAAGTATACATGTTGTTAAACTCCTGTTTGTCTTTTTCCTGTTAATCTGATTTTTTATTACAAGGGGTTCTGAGCCAAAGGTAGAGGGAAAATTATTTTTTCAGCCCCACACCATTCATTGGTGAGGCTCAATGGAGTTAAAAATAAGTTGTGCAGGTAAAAATTTATCAGAGATGAAAAAATTAATAATCACAATTATCTCTTGACTTAGATTCTTTTTTTTTATAAATTTTTTAAAAAATTATATCTTTATTGATTTCAGAGAGAGGAAGGGAGAGGGAGAAATAGAAACATCAATAATGAGTCATCATTGATCCGCTGCCTCTTGTACGCCCCCAACTGGGGATGGAGCCCGAAACCCGGGTATGTGCCCTGACCGGGAATCGAACCCTGATCTCCTGGGTCCTAGGTCGATGCTCAACCACTGGGCCACGCTGGCTGGGCTCTTGATTTAAATTCTAAATCAAAGAATTGGCACTATTTCCCATGGGCCAAATCCAGCCGTTGCCTGTTTTTGTATGACCACTGAGTTAAAAATGTTTTTACATTTTTAGAGCTTGTTTAAAAGAAAATAAAAAAAGAAAAGAATATGAGACAGAGACCATATTGCAGCTAAGCAATAAAATAAAGCAATGCATATTGGCCTTTTGTTTTTATCTTTCTAAATTGATAAGCTTCTCTTTATTTGATGCAATACTTTGATATTGTTCAAATACTTTAGCTAAGACCTCCTCTGCTCTAGCACTGTCATGGCCAGTAATGAATGAGTATGTTCTATTCCTTCTTTGGAAATATAAACTTGTTCAAGCACAAGAACTCTCAGGTTCCTCCCCAAAACATCTGACAGGTCTTAGAAATGGTTGCCAAGAATTCTCTGCCATTAAATGAGAATAAATGGCAAAGGCATAAAAGTTTCCATCAAACAAGCAGAGACCAAAGCTTGGAAATGTAGATATGTATTTTAGATTTGTTTATTTTAGGAAAGTTAGAAGAGTCAAAAATTCCTTCACAAGTGATAGTGATAAAAGTATATAAATAACTCATTTTATCAGGCCTAAGTGAAAAAAGGAGTGTATTATCTTCATACTTTGCTCAAAGCTGTTACTCCCCATAAAAATAGGAATTTTGGCTTCTCTAATGTTTATAATTGTCTCAATCTTCCCTGTTGCCCTTTCCATATAGGCAAAACATATTTTGCTGTAAAGATCAAATTATATCTATAAACAGCATAAAAGCTTGGAACACAAACCAAAAATTTCAAATCCTTATCTTTATAATTTCGGGAATATAAGCGAAATAAGCCGGGCAGAGAAAGACAAACATCACATGATCTCACTTATATGTGGAATCTAAAGAACTTAAAAAAACTGATGAACAGAATAGATTCAGTGACATGGAAGCACAGATGAGACTGACGAATGTCAGAGGGATGGAGG